AAGTAATGAAAAAATCTATCAGAAGTCTAATTTTCATCAGATGTCCACCCAAATTAAAACTTTTACATACTGTATGAGTATGGCTTCTAGACTATAGCAAAAATGAAATCTGGCATAATCAGAATTATTCTCAAATGTGACAGCTAAATGCAGTAACTGACCTTAGACTGCATCCTGTACCCAAGGAAGAAAATCCTATAAATAACATTAAAGGGCCAATTGACAAATTGGAATACTGTCCATAGATTAAAGTATTGAATTACTGTTGAATTTACTGAAATTCACTACTGTAATGTGGTCACAAAAGAGACTATACCTACACTTAGGAAATACACACTAAGATATTATAGAGAAAGGGCCAAAAAGTATGTGACTTACCCTTAGAGGATTTAGAAAGAAAAAATATAACATTATGGCTTTTTTCCCCACACGTATTCTGAGAAAGCACACAAATGATAAAAGAATTAGAGTAAAATGTTAACAATAAGTGAATTTGAGTAAAAGGTATATAGGTATTTTTAATGTTGTCTTTACTTTTGCAACTTGTCTGTAAGTTTGACATTATATCCAAATAAAAAGTTTAAAAATCTAAAAAGTCATTCTCAAGGAGAGGTACACAGTAGACTGCTTCTTGCATTCTCTAGGAAAGCAACGGAAATACTAGAGTCATTTAAAAAATTCTTTTCTATGACCATAAGTGTCTGGAAAATAATTCCAGTGACTTTACCAAGGCTACCTGAAGAATCAAAATTGGTAATGAGAGTCCATGGCACCTAAACCATACCCAAACTGAGACACAGCCTTTTCTTTTCTATAATCCTCTTAAAATTTAGAGTGATTAGTAACTTTACTAAAACACTGTAAATGCCCTAAAGCCCTGGTTTTTTCCACTGCTTGCTATATATTATTTGCACAAGTAATTTAATCGCTCTGTGCCTCAGTTTCCCCATGTATATAGTCAGGATAATGAAAATGTCTCCCTCATAATGCTGAAAGAGATAAGATGTGTAAAATGGTTAGACGGGTGCCTGGCACATAAAAAAAAGTCCGTAAATGAGTGCCCTCTAAGATTATAATAATTGTTATTAATTGGGGCACCTGGGTGGCTCAGTCATTAAGCATCTGCCTTCGGCTCGGGTCATGATCCCAGGGTCCTGGGATCGAGCCCCCACATCGGGCTCCCTGCTCCGCGGGAAGCCTTGCTTCTCCCTCTCCCACTCCCCCTGCTTGTGTTCCCTCTCTCACTGTGTCTCTCTCTGTCCAATAAATAAAATCTTAAAAAATAATAATAATTGTTATTAATTAAAGGAAAATAAAGGTGGAATTGCAGCTCATCAACCAAACTCTATCCTGAAAATGCAAATGAATGAGGATTGGCACCCGTCAAGAACAGAAGCACAATTGTGAACAGTTTTTAAATGCAAGGTAAATATATAATTTTAAAGAATTTTAGCCATGTTAATATTTAACAAAATTCACAACATTGTAGATGCTATACCAAGAGTACACAGTTCAAAATAACAAGTTTAGGGGTGCCTGGGTGGCTCAGTTGGTTAAGCATCTGCCTTCAGCTCAGGTCATGATCTCAGGGTCCTGGGATCAAGCCCCCACGTCTGGCTGCTCAAGGGGGAGTCTGCTTCTCCCTCTGCCTCTCCCCCAGCTCGTGCTTTCATTCTCTCTTTCTCTTTCTCAAACAAGTAAATAGAATCTTAAAACAAACAAACAAGTTTAAATACATTATTTCCCATGGAAATTTTTTAAAAATCCACTAATCCACCAATATTTCCAAAGCCACAAAATATGTCTTTTGGGGACGCCTGGGTGGCTCAGTTGGTTAAGCGACTGCCTTCGGCTCAGGTCATGATCCTGGAGTCCTAGGATCAAGTCCTGCGTTGGGCTTCCTGCTCAGCAGGGAGTCTGCTTCTCCCTCTGACCCTCCCCCCTCTCATGAGCTCTCTCTCTCTCTCATTCTCTCTCTCTCAGATAAATAAATAAAATCTTTAAAAAAAATATGTCTTTTGTCCTTTTCTCACACACCCAATATAATCCCAGGCAGTCAATTAAATCAATCTTCTTTCATTTTGATATGATTTCCTACACAAGGACTACGGATTCCTAAAAATAGTAATGAGCTATTTTCAAACTGTCAAAAATCTTAATGTAAATGGTATAATTCTGAGAAACAAAAAGATGATATATTATTTAATTAATAAACTCATTTATGAAAGAACATTTATCAAAACCTGGGTCCTAAGACAGACACATTTCTGTTCTTCCCACTCCACTTTCCATTCAGATCAGCATACAGTCATTCTTCAGCCAAAAGTTGTCATGTAAATAGACTCCAGGCATGCCTGCCCTGCATATTCAGCAGACCTGCCCAGACATGTCCAAATCCCAGCTTCTATTTAGCTGGAATCCCCCCACGAGTACTGAATGGTCCCTGGGTTTTGCCATCCTTGGACCTCAGATATCTTGGCTGGTACCATCAAGATTCCTGTGGCTGAGTCGTTCAGACACTTAAAAACATATTCTCTGGATTACACCAAATGTAGTCCTGGCAGAGCTGTAATTGGTCATTTTTCTATTTTAAGAATATGGCCCAGGAACCAACTGGTACTGTTGGAAGCCAGATACACTCCCACCAAAAGCCTCTTGTATTAATTTCCTAAGGACTCAGGTCTCTGGCTAAAGAACGAATATAAGCTTTTCTCAAGAATTTGAGGCAAGCAAAAAGTTAGAGGAAAAGTTATAATCCTGGTGAGGAAGAGGGGGCTTTATATTTTTCTAGTTTGAAGAAGAAATCTTGATAGATCGCTGTCTTTTTCAGCACCAAAAATAACTGATGGGACAATTTCATGGTCATGATACATCCCATAAATGCCAGTCTCTATAGTTTCTTGAGACTGCTGTGGGTTTATGGCCCAATGACAACAGGTAACAGAAGGATTGGATTACTCAAAAGGCCAGCAATACCTAGAATTCCTAAGGTGGAGTCTTCAGCAGGATCAGAAACCCAAGAGAAGTCATCAGAATGGACTTAAGGCAATGTATTCATTGGATATGTGGAACCAGAGCCCAGTTAATAAAATTCCCAAATATAGCTGGTGCTACATAAATGGTGCAGGGCCTGGACCAGCAGCAGCAACATTACTTGGGAACTTGTTACAAATACAAATTCCTGAGCTCTACCCCAGAACCACTGAACCAAATTCATGGAGGATAGAGTCCAAGGATCTACATTTTAACAAGCTCTTCAGGGGATTCGTAATCATGCTAGGGTTTGAGAACTACTGCCCTAGAATTATTTCAAGTTCCAAGTGAGCCCTGGCTAGTTGATGTTCCAAAGGCAGTCAGAAAACCCATGTAAAATGGGCCTCTGGTAGAGCTCCAGGGAAGTCATGCTCAGCCTTGTTTCCCAGCCTGATCTGGACAGGGTTCTCAAACATAATGTGGCCTCATGCTGTGGGTGTGCCTACTGGTGATAAAGGCACATAGCTGGAAACAGCACAAGGCACATTTTTCCTAATATTCTCATCTTCCACTATATTAAGGGAGATCTTCCCAGGGAGGCTTAAGCTGTGCTGGCTAAGCGTTGTGGACTTGCCTCCACCATCCCTTTCAGCCATATGCATCGAGGAGTAAGTTTATCAAGAAGAGACTTGATTTTTTTTTTTTTTAAGTAATCTCCAAGCCCAACGTGGGGCTTGAACTCACAACCCCGAGATCAAGAGTTGCATGCTCTACCAACTGAGCCAGCCAGGCACCCCTAGAGACTTGAATTTTGAATGAATAGTAGTGGCTTTCCAACCCTGGTCCTCCCTTAAATTGACATTGGATCCATTTCTCTTCCCTGGCACTTGCTGACAACTTCTAGGAGTTCTGCATCATCTTCTTCAAGTAGTGCTTCAGTTTTATCCATGGGACAGAAAGCAAAAACTGCTACTCATCCAGCCCACCTCTTCTAAGAAGAGAGGAGATCTAAACAATCACATGCAATAGACATACAGGCTTGAAACAATTATAAGTGACATCCTCCAAGGGATGCATCCAGACGCAACAACAATGTCCCAAGGTTCATAATCTGAACCAAGACTAGAAGGGCCTTCTTTCAACTTCCTGCTTTTGACTCCCTCTTAGTCTCATATTGTTTCCTACTTCAAACACCTCAATGATTCTCTCACCAGAAACTCGGTTCTGTGAATTCCTGTCCGTTTACCTACACCCTCTGGCCAAAATCCTAACTGGCTCAGTGAAATCTACCTTCTCCACACCTATACCTACGTTGCTGAGCAAGAAATGACATCCTGAAAAAGTAGAAATTGATGCCCCTACACAAGTATGGGATCTAACTGGAAACTGGGTTCTTTAGCCTCACAAGAAATGTTTAAAATACATCTCTCCTTCCCATTCCCTTCCGTGGCATTTCCAAACCCTCACCACTGTGTTCAAACAACATATCCACTCCCGCTCTCCTCACTTTCGGTGAACTTTATCTCATCCGCGTAACTAGAAAATTGCTGCCATGAAGAAAGAACTACCTCAGCTTCTCCTACCGCCAGCATGAGCCGTGGGTTTGCCTGATTCCATACCATTTCTAATTGTCTTCCCTCCAATCTCAGAGAATCTCATTTTCATATCTGTCTTTCCACCACAGCCCCTCCCAGTCTCCTCCGAAAATTCCATTAACAGCTTTCCCTCCATTGTATTTTTTTTTTTAAGATTTTATTTATTTGACACAGAGAGAGAGAGCACGCACACACACAAATATGAAGGAGGGGGAGAAGCAGACTCCCCACTGAGCAGGGAGCCTGAGGACTCAACTCGGGGCTCAGTCCCAGGAACCTGAGATCATGACCTGAGCCTAAGGCAGCCACTTAACTGACTGAGCCACCCAGTTGCCCCTCCCTCCATTGTTTTTAATTTCTCCCTCTACGGTGGTTTTATTAACCTGAGCCTATAAATATGTTTCATAAACTTTTTAAAAAATAAGGTTATAAAGGGGCACCTGGCTGGCTCAGTCAGTACAGCATGCGACTTTTGATCTCAAGGTCCTGAGTTCAAGCCCCAAACTGGGTGTAGAGCTTCCTTAAACTTAATTAATTAAGGTTATAGAAAATTGAAATAATATAATTAGTAAAGCTTGCCTAATTCAACGATACACATACATGCACAAACACATATGTAAAAAAAAGTTCAGCCTTGGTCAAAAAAAAAAAAAGCCTTCTTGTGTTTCCCTCTAGAAACAACCTGTGGAGTAATATTCATTGGGTCTCCACTGCCCCACCTCTCCCTCATTCCTCAAACCTCTTCAATTTGGTCTCTTCCTCTGTTAGCTCAAGAGGTTTGACAAATGTTATCAATGACTTCCAAGCTCCCAATACAATGGACACAATGGACCTTATTCTATCCTTACCTAACAGACGTCTCTTGGATTTGTAGACTGTTAACCAGACTCCACTCTTGTCAATTCCCTTGGCTTTTAAATTTCCACACCCTCCTATCTTGCCATTCTTACGGGGCTTCTTTATGAGCTCGTGTTCTCACCAGTACCAGAGATCAAAAGCTGGCAACCTGTGGACTGGATCTGACTTATATTTTGTGGAGCACATAAACCGGTAAAATAATTCTGAATTAATTGAGAATATTTAAAACTTAGGAAATTCCACCCAAAACTCTGCATTTCTACTTTTTCTTGAAAAATCTGAAAGCCAGGTATCACTGGGCCTGTGACACGACAGAGGCACGACTACCAGGAGCAGAGCAGACAGCAGCAACTCTCCCCTCCAGGTAGGGTATGCTTTCCCTAGTTCACCACATTTACCATGTCCCCATTGTCCTTCACCTGCTTTGCTTCACGCATCAGTGTGCTCTGATTGCCCTGTGCAGGCCAAGAGTTCCATTCTCCACGCCCTTGCTTTTCAAGCTACACAGTCTTCTGTCCCTCCACAGTATTTCAACGTCACCATGGTTTTCGCTGCAATTCCTCTGCTAGTGAACGCAGACCCCTATGACAAAGGTGAGGACAGCAACGTGAGGCAAACACAGACAGAAGCAATTTCCCAAATAACAAAGAGTAGTTAACATATGGCAGAATGCTTTGCAAGTGAGTTTCCTGAACTTCAGCCTTTGATGGAACAGTGCAGGATCTAGTGCTCACAAATATGTCACTGAGGAGTCTGAACTCGTCAAGCAAAGGCTGGTGAAAAACGAAGACCATTAGATGAGAAAGTCAGCTCTCCAGTGCTGATGACGTGGGCCAAAGATCGAGGTGATGGAAGAAAAAGGACCAGATCAAGATAAATATTTCTCTTCACCAATATCCAGGAGCAGAAGGAATGAATATAGGCTAATGTAACATTATAAAAGTTTTGTTTGATTGATTGATTTATCTGTTTAAAATTCTCCTAATGGGGTCTAGATTGTATGGGCCAATATTACATCTCAGTACAAACCCACAAGTGTCATTTATTTCTAGTTTATGACAGCAGTTCTAGGATCAACTGTAAGCTTTTGAAAAATCTTATATATGGGGCACCTGGGTGGCATAGTTGGCTGGGCGTCTGACCTACACTCAGGTCATGATCTCAGGGTCCTGGGATCTAGTCTTTGTGTCAGGCTTCCTGCTCAGCAGGGAGTCTGCTTCTCCCTCTCCCTTCGCCCCATACTCCCCCCAATGCTCTGTCTCTCAAATAAATAAATAAAATCTTTTAAAAAAATCTTATATATGACCTTTTATTTTTTTTAAGATTTTATTTTATTTATTTGACAGAGAGAGAGAACGCGAGAGAGGGAACACAAGCAGGGGCAGAAGGAGAGGGTGAAGCAGACTTCCCGCTGAGCAGAGAGCCCGATGTGGGGCTCGATCCCAGGACCCTGGGATCATGACCCGAGCCGAAGGCAGACGCTTAACGAATGAGCCACCCAGGTGCCCCTTATATATGACCTTTTAAATTAATGCAAAGCTTCAATAGTTAATGTGGAGGAAAATATAAACAAATGTATATCAATATACAATAAATCTATAAAAATATATATAATAAATCAGTATAAAATTTAGAATTTGTCAGAGAAATAATGCACCTTTAAAATTTTGCCAAGGGGCACCTGGGTGGCTCAGTCATTAAGCATCTGCCTTCGGCTCAGGTCATGATCCCAGGGTCCTGGGATCAAGCCCGCATCAGGCTCCCTGTTCAGTGGGGAGCCTGCTTCTCCCTCTCCCACTCCCCCTGCTTGTGTTCTCTCTCTTGCCGTGTCTTTCTCTGTCAAGTACATAAATAAAATCTTCAAAAAATAAAATAAAATAAAATAAAATTTTGCCAAAAAAGAATATTTTGCCAAGATGTCCAGAAAAGACAAATCTGTAGAGACGAAAAGATTAGTGGTTGCCAGGGGCTGAGGGAATGGGATAGAAATGGGGCGGGGGGGTGACTGTTGATGTGTATGGGATTTCTTTTTCAGACGATGAATATGTTTTAAAATTGATTATAGTACTAGTTGCACAACTCTGCGAATATATAAACACCATTGAATTGTACACTTTAAATGGATACATTGAATGGTATGTGATTTTTATCCATAATAAAGATGTTATTTTTTAATTACCCGGATAATTTAAGTAGAACAATTTCATAGTCCCACTTAACTTGAAAATTGTTTCAGCTTTGCAACAATTTATGAGACATCACTATATTTTAATGCATTCTAGTTGTGTACCCATATTTACTCTACATTTCTATACCCTTAAATACCAGTTTTGAAGATGGTAAATATAAGCCAAGCATTGAAATTAGAGCTGCACAGAATTTAGTCCTTCTAATTTCAGTAGGAAAAAAACTAAATCTTTTCAATGGACTAAAAACATGCCATACTTTCATACCCAGTTGTTTTTTTTTTTAAGATTTTATTTATTTATTTCAGAGAGAGAGAGAATGAGAGATAGAAAGCACGAGAGGGAAGAGGGTCAGAGGGAGAAGCAGACTCCCCGCTGAGCTGGAAGCCCGATGTGGGACTCGATCCCAGGACTCCAGGATCATGACCTGAGCCGAAGGCAGTCGCTTAACCAACCGAGCCACCCAGGTGCCCTATACCCAGTTTTATGACTATAGTAACCATGTTAACACAGAGAAGGTGGGGAAAGAAATCAGAATTCTATGAAAAAAAAGATTTAATTTACCAACGTATGATTCATTTAACATTTCTAAAAAAATTCTCAGACTAGGAAAATTATAAAAATCCCAGTCCTGTCATATACTACTTTTACTAAAAGCATTTACCATAAAATTTAAAGAACAATAACAACCAAATCCATATTAAAACGTTACCAAAGGGGGCGTCTGGGTGGCTCAGTCAGTTAAGCATCAGTCTTCCATTCAGGTCATGATCCTGGGGTCCTGGGATGGAGCTCCCTATTGGCTCCATGCTCAGCAGGGAGTCTGCCTCTCCCCCTTGCTCATGCTCTCTCTCGCTCTCTCAGATAAATAAAATCTAAAAAAAAAAAACCTACCAAAGCAGAGAGAATAATTTTAGCTCCACCTGGCTACTAACACAGTCAAACAGCCTTAAAGCAATTAATTATGTTATCACATGTTTTTATTGGTGTGTTGCCAATTTCTATCAGGACAGAAGTTAATTTTTCCCTTTTGGATGTAAAGTGATGCTGGAAAAAAGAATTATTAGTATAGAACAGTTTAATCTATTGTAATATTTTAATTTTACTTGTTATACTCCATCTTGGAAATGAAAAGTTTGCAACTATTTTTTGGCAAATGTATTTATACATACCCATTCTTTCTGACAAGAGCAAATTATTCCTTCTTTAAGAAAAATTTTCACAGGGCTGCACCAAAAACTAATAATGTAATATATGGTGATTAACATAACAATAAAAAAATTAAAAAAAAAAAAGAAAAAAAGAAAAATTTTCACAGGGCGCCTGGGTGGCTCAGTTGTTAAGCAGCTGCCTTCAGCTCAGGTCGTGATCCTGGAGTCCTGGGATGGAGTCCCACATCAGGCTCCCTGCTCAGCAGGGAGTCTGCTTCTCCCTCTGACCCTCCTCCCTCTCACGCTCTCTATCTCTCATTCTCTCTCTCTCAAATAAATAAATAAAATCTTTAAAAAATAAAAAAATAGGGCGCCTGGGTGGCTCAGTTGGTTAGGCGATTGCCTTCGGCTCAGGTCACGATCCTGGAGTCCTGGGATCGAGTCCCACATCGGGCTCCCTGCTCGGCAGGGAGTCTGCTTCTCCCTCTGACCCTCTTCCCTCTCGTGCTCTCTATCTCTCATTCTCTCTCTCAAATAAATAAATAAAATCTTTAAAAAAAATAAAAAATAAAAATAAAAATAAAAAAAAGTTGGATGTGCATTTTTTTTCCAGCTTTTAATTTGATCATTCAATTCCTCTGGGCAGAAAAAACTTGAAAATTTATGCAAGCACTTGGTTGTTTTTTTAGAATATTAATTATATATCTCTACATATGATATGCAACATCCTATGGCAATGATGCATATGCATATATAGTGAACAGATATCCAGAGAGAATCTTTCCTCACAACTCTACCTCAGTTCACATAGGGATCCCGAATGAGGTGCCCGGCTGGCTCAGTCAGTAGAGCATGTGACTCTTGATCTTGGGATTGGGAGTTCACGCTCCACACTGGGCACAGAGATTACTTTTTATTCTATTACAGTTCCACTTTCCATCCACTCTTCATCTCCCTCTCTCCTGCTCTGTTCCCTGGAAGGTTGAACCCTGCGGGCTCCATCTCCCATTCCCTCTTTGGGGGCTGGTTTTCCTCTAAATTTAGCCAGGCCAATGAGAGGAGAGCAGAGGATGGGAAGAGAGAGATGTCAGGTATTTATTCCCTGCTCCTTCCATGCTCTGGGACCACTCTCTGGCTGGATCCGCTTTCCTCCATGACCATCCAGGAGAAGCAGGACAGCCCTGTGCACATGTAATTCCCAGCTCTCTTTGAGCTCCAGAAACTCTACTTCCTCCCCTTGTGCCTTCTTCTATGGGGAAAGTAAGGGCTTTTTGTTGTTACTGGTCTAGGTGCCTCACATAGCTTCCCAACTCTCTTAGCTCTCCCCACACCACAGTAAGTAGTCTTGTCCTGAATGTAGGTTCTGACGACAGACCATTGTGGTGAATTCTCTCTTCCTGCCAGAACCCCGACTGACACAGGAGCCACCTAAGACTTCCTATTCAGACCTGATTTTTGGTGGATCAATCCTTAATTCATACAGGAAAGGGAGGAAGAAAACACTGAGGAAAAGAACAATTTCTCTACCACAGCCTGGTATGACTACTTTTCAGTTCCATCTACCTCATTTCACACAATTAAAAAAAAAAAAAAAAACACAACACTGCTTTTGCTGACTCTGCACCTAAACTTTGGTTCCTTACCCAACATACCTGAGTGTGTGCATTTATCTTTTTGTACTTAATTTAGTGAACACAGCAGCTTTATGTTCTCCAATTGGGACCAAGCCGCAAAGACAGGCAGCTTCCACTGAAAACCAAAACAGAGGTTTCATGTGGCTTCTTCACTCGTTAAATTAGCACACTCCAGTTTTGGGGCTAAAGCAATCTATTCCACCACCCTCTGTTCTGACTCGTCTCCAGAGCTACAATACCGATGTGCTTGAAAGCACGAGTTTTTCTATTGTGTTTTTGATAATGAGTCTGCTATACGCACTGTTATCTCTTTGCACAACTGAGGAGAAAAGTCTAGACTTCGCTGCATTTTGTAATTAACAAGGAAATTTATCCTATTTATATAATGGAGAAGATAATTATAAGACCAGTAAGATCATTGTCAATGTGTTCATTATCATAAGAAGGTAAATATATTCAAATTCCTAAGATAAACATATTTATTACCTTTGAGTGAACATAATTTTATATACAAATATTCTAACACATAGTTTCCTTTAGTAACCAAACTTAAACATGCTTTGAGCTTAACATAGCCTTAGGTTTATAGGTTACAATTGTTGACCAAAACAGTAGCATTTATATTTAGAAGATGCATATCATGTTAACAGACATTTATAAGGAATCATAATTGAGTTTAAAGAGGCAAAATTTGTACAAATTTAAAATGGAAAAACTTTCCTCCTCCTGCCATCCATGTTCTTAAAACCCCATGTAAGCACTTTTTAAAAAAGGTATGTTTGTTTGATTTTAAATAGGAAATGCATACCCCTGCTAGGAAATTCAAAGGGAACAAAAAGATACTTGGGGAAAGTATGTTTCTTTCCCACCTCTATACCCTGGTCACCAGGTTCTCCTCCTCTGAAGTGACTAATGTTACCAGTTTCATGTATATTTCTGAGAAATATTCACTGCATAAACAAGCATGTACCCGTATTTTCTGTTTAGTTTTACATAAATAGTATCATACTCTAAAGTCTATTATGCACTTTATTTTGTTCACTTTTTATATCCTATAGAGTGTTCTCCATCCATATGAAGCTGGCTTTTTTTTTTTTTTTTAAGATGAAGTGTTAAGCTGCATAGATGAACCGAAATTGGTCTATGTTATAAGATCCTTCTTGTTTGGGGTGTGCTATTCTAGCTACTCACCAACTCTTTATTTTCTGTCCACCTTCTTGATTTGTTGCTTTGTTTTCATGTATATAGCAGGAAAATAAAAACCAACAGGATGATGATGATGATGATGATGTTATAAGGACATATGAGAGTTAAGAGAAAATTTGTTTCCACTGGGGAATTTTCAGTAGTGTGCTGGTGAGTGTGATTTAACAATCAGTTCTCCAGGGAGAAAAAGACCTGGTTTGCGGCATTTGGTAATTATTCTATCATAGTTAATTTCAAGCTACCAATGTGATGTCACTGAACCCAGAATTGAAAAGAGATGTGCACCATTCTTTTTTTTTTTTAAGATTTATTTATTTATTTATTTGCCAGAGAGAGAGAGCACAAGTAGGCAGAGAGGCAGGCAGAGGGAGAGGGAAAAGCAGGCTCCCTGCCGAGAAGGGAGCCTGACGTGGGGCTCGATCCCAGGACCCTGGGATCATGACCCGAGCCGAAGGCAGCCGCCTAACCAACTGAGCCACCCAGGCGCCCCGATGTGCACCATTCTATAGTACTTGCACTGAACAGATACAGAAGATCTAACCTCATCATCACAGTCATTATTAAAATAATTAGGAAGTGATAAGTTTTAAAATATGCATTACTTTTGGGGTGCCTGAGTGGCTCAGTTGGCTAAGTGTCTGACTCTTGATCTCAGCTCAGGTCTTGATCTCGGGGTCATGAGTTTGAGACCTGCATTGGCCTCCACACTGGGCATAGAGCCTACATAATACACACACACACACACGCACACCTATGTATTACTTTTCTCAGTATAATTTATTTAATACACTTTATACATTAGTATAGCTTAATTTTGAATAACAGCTTGTTAATTATTTTAAAAGATTTTTAAGTAATCTTTACTCCCAAGGTGGGGCTTGAACTTAAAACCCCAAGAGCAAGTCACATGCACTTTCAACTGAGCCAGCCAGGCGCCCCAACAGCTTAATTCTTTTTTTTTAAAGATTATTTATTTATTTATTTGAGAGAGAGAGAGAGAGAGAGAGAGAGAGGCAGAGGGAGAAGCAGGCTCCCAAGGAGAAGGGAGCCTGATGCGGGACTGGATCCCAGGACCCTGGGATCATGACCTGAGTCGAAGGCAGACGCTTAACCAACTGAGCCACCCAGGCGCCCCCAGCTTGTTAATTTTTAACAACTGGCTCAAAAATTCCTAAAAATGTAATGATCAGCTCTTGTGAGCTGGTGTGAGCCAGCTCTAACACACCTCTAATTTTGTTTATATTCATTGAAGAGATACCTACGTTAGCATATATCTCCGTACATCTTCTCTTGACTCATAGTCATTTCAAATTGAATATATTCAAAACCAAATTCTTGATTAGCTCCGTCCCCAAAACTCTCCTCCAAAAGTCCTCTGTATTCCAGCAAACAGCAATTCTATTCTTCCAACTGCTCCAATCAAAAGCCTTGGAGTCATCACTGACTCTTTTCCTTCATACACTCCATCTAATCTGTCCATAATCCTGCTGACTCTACTGATGGGGTTTTGGAATATAGGTGAGGTTCGTTGGGGTGAGGTCCAGAACCGACGACTAAGAAAGAATTCTTGAGACGGGCTGGTGCAGAATGGTGGTTTATTAAAGCATGGGAACAGGACCCATGGGCAGAAAGAGCTGCTGCCCTGGGGTTGTGGGGGGTGACTGATTATATACCATGGGTTTGGGAGAGGTAAGGAAAAGGGAGTTTTCAAAAGGATTTTCATATGTTAAAGAAGACTCACAGGATACCAGAGGCCTTGCCATTGTCAAGTTAAGGTTGTTTTTCCCTCTAGCAAAACATTAACATGAAGATAGTTAGGAGCTTCCTGGAGGAACATTTACCCTCCATCTGTTTCAAGTATCTGTCAATGGGCTGCAGGTTATAAGGACGTTTGATTGTATCTACATTTCCTTCTGGAAGCTAGGTTCTTGATGGAAATGCTTTGTTCTTGTAGATTCCTAAGACATTTGTAAACCGAGGGAGACTCATGTCTTGCAGGATTGTGAGCCCCATAAGGTTAACTATTTGTTTTTTCTCTCCTTAGCTTTAGGGCAGCCAGGAGTGCAAGAGGAATGTCATATACATCCCATGGGGGCGGGGTTGTGGGGTGTCAGATTTGCTTTGTCCTCAGCTTGCCTTCTGTTCCCTCATCATCTACTTTCCTTTTTTTTTTTTTTTAAGATTATTTATTTGACAGAGAGAGACTCAGTGAGAGAGGGAACACAAGCAGGAGGAGCAGAAGAGGGAGAAGTAGGCTCCCCACTGAGCAGGGAGCCAAATGCAGGGCTCGATCCCAGGACCCTGGGATCGTGACCTAAGCGGAAGACAGACCCTTAACCAACTGAGCCACCCAGGCACCCTCCTACTTTCAGAACATATCCAGAATCCAGCCACTTCTCATCACCTCCATTGATACCAACGTGGCACCTCCCATATGCCCAACACCAAGAATGCTGCCTAGCACATACTAAATACTGAAAAAATATTCATTGGATGAATAAAGATATAAAAGCAAGACAGAGTATTTTGAAAAACATGTATCTCATTTTTGTGTAGTTTAACTTTCCTTTGTCATTACCCAACCAAAAACCTTCAATGAGCCTTTATTTCCTAGAAAAGTACTTGCAACTTATAAGCTACTGAGTGTGCAAAGGGTCTACAAATCCACGTGCACACCAAACATTGAAATATGGTTTGTAAAATATGAACACCTATTTTTTTCCCGTCTGTAGATGATTTGGTGATAAACAGAACACAAATTTATTAAAAATATTATTGAGGGGTGCCTGGGTGGCTCAGTCGTTAAGCATCTGCCTTTGTTCTGCTCAGGTCCTGATCCCAGGGTCCTGGGATCGAGCCCTGAATTGGGATCCCTGCTCGGTGAGCCTACTTCTCCCTCTCCCTCTGCTGCTCCCCCTGCTTGTGCGCTCTCTCTGTCAAATAAATAAAAATAAAATCTTTAAATATATATATTATTGAATTTCTAGTAATTTCTTTGTCATTATACAGTTTTTCAGGAAAGTCCAAAAAATATGATTACAAAGGAGTTCTTACAGTGGAAAAAAAATGAACAATATAGCCTAGGGAAACAAATTTAAAACTCACTAATTGGGGCGCCTGAGTGGCTCAGTTGTTAAGCGCCTGCCTTCAGCTCAGGTCATGATCCCAGGACATGCATCGGGCTCCCTGCTCCGCAGGAAGCCTGCTTCTCCCTCTCCCACTCCCCCTGCTAGTGTTCCCTCTCTCACTGTGTTTCTCTCTGTCAAATAAATAGATAAAATCTTAAAAAAAAAAAAAACTCACTAATTATGGGGTGCCTGGCTAGCTCAGTTGGTAGAGCTTGCAACTCTTGATCTTGGGGTCGTGAGTTCAAGTCCCATGTTGGGCATAGGGCTTACTTAAAGAAAAAAACAACTCACAATTAAACTTGTGTTGGTTGATATCTATAGTACAAAGGAGTGTTCCTGGCTTTGTGAAAGATAGCAACATGAATAGGACATGTCCTTTGTCCTAAAAGAATTCTAATCTACTTGGGAGATAGACACAATTCTAAATAATTCTACCAAGAGATCTGTTGTCAAAAGTATCCAAAATGCTATGAAGCTGTTTGAAAAAGAGATTAATTCTGCCTAGAGGAAAAAGACTTATCATCAGAAGAGGCAAGACAGTCTGAGCGGGACCATAAAGGCTAGAAAGTAGAAGAAACACATTCCAAGCAAAGGGGAAAGTTTGAATTAAAGAATGTGGGAGGAGGAAAAAAAAAGAATGTAGGTGAAAGTGGAGAGTGTTCTCAAAGAACCACAGCAGATAGTTTTTATACTAAAGGTATATGGTTGAAAGGAGTAGAATAGTAGATAAGCTACAAAATAGGGTGCAGTCAAATTGCTGTGGGTTCAGTTGATGAATTTGGTCTTTGTTCTGAAGGTGAAAAGCAGTTATTAAAGTTCTTCAATTGCATTCAACAAATATCTAGGAAAGCCTACTATGTGACCGGCAAGAAGCCAGGGGCTAGAGATGTAATGGTCACCAAGAGAGACACGATATCCCCTACCTTCAGTCTTTGAGCAAGAGAATGATGTCACCTGATCTATATTTTTGGAAAATAAATCTGTAGGAAAGATTGAGAGACTTCTTAGTTTTTCAGTCACTTGTAAGAGGAAATTATTTTGAACAGATAAAATGTATTTGCTACTAACAATTCCCCTTACCTATAATTCCCTCCAACCCTTTTTATAAGGAAGATAGAGTCCAAGAGGTTTTCCTTTATGGAGAAGGATGGGGAGTAGGAGGATTGTTATGGGTAATGTGTTGAAGTTCGTCTCCCAAAACCTCGGAAAGTGAACTTACTTGGAAATATGGCCATTGCAAATGTATTTAGTTAAGATGAGGCCGTTTAGGGTGGGCCCTAATCCAATGTGACTGGTGTCCTTATAAGAAGGAAAATTTGGATGCAGACGCACACAGGGAGAAGGCTGTGTGAGGATGAAAGCTGAGATCCAGGTGATTCTTTTACAAGCCATGGAATGCCAAAGATTGCCAGCAAAACCACCAGAAGCTAGACAAGAGGACTGGAACAGATTTTCCCTCCCAGTCCTGAAAAGAAACCAGTCCTGCCGATACCTTGATCTTGGAGTTTTAGCCTCTAAAACTTTGAGACAGTACATTTCTCTTCTTTAAAGCACCCTGTTTATGGTACTTCATTGTGGCAGTTCTAGAAAACTAATACAAGGATGGAATCTAAAATATTCCACATTAAAAAAGAAATAGAGAAAGACGCTCATTGGTGCTGTGAAATCAGAGCAGTGAAGGCTAGGAGTCCAGGAATTTGCACGGGCTGCTTGGAAGGTCAATGGTAAGACAACAAGCTAAAAAGGAGCTTTGAGAGGAAGAATGGAAATATCTAATAGGAATTTTTCAATTAAGGGTTACTGTGTGGTATGTAATGTTTCTCTTCTTCAGCTCTCAAAAAAGTCTTCAGTCTATGTCATTCACTTTCTTCAATGATTTTTTTTTTTTTTGAGTAAGCTCTACACCCAACATGGGGCTTGAACTCACCACCCTGAGATCAAGAGTCACATGCTCTCGGGCGCCTGGGTGGCTCAGTTGGTTAAGCGACTGCCTTCGGCTCAGGTCATGATCCTGGAGTCCCGGGATCGAGTCCCGCATCGGGCTCCCTGCTCAGCGGGGTGTCTGCTTCTCCCTCTGACCCTCTTCCCTCTCGTGCTCTCTATCTCTCATTCTCTCTCTCTCTCGAATAAATAAAAATAAAATCTTTAAAAAAAAAAAAAAAAAGAGTCACATGCTCTCTTGACTGAGTCAGCCAGACATCCCTCTTTGGTGATTTAAAGTTTTTAGATGAAACAAAAAGCTGAGAGTCCTAGTTCAAGGTGAAAATGGAGGCAACGACAAGGTTTCCCACGGATCATGTCTACATTACAACCTTATTCATTACAGAGATGCTTATTAAACACCAGCTATGAGTCAGGCACAAGGCCAGACATGTAGACTGCAGTAATAAACAAGGTAGACACAATCCCTGCCCACACAGAGCTTAAAATCTAGTGAGAAAGATAGACAATAAACAATTCAGCACATTTCTACTAAAATTACTAGTGGTTTGAGTAAGTTTACTTACACAAGGAATATGTGTAAAGGCAAAGTATCGGCTACTGTAATAATATATAGCCTAACCTAGACTGAGACTTGGAGCTTGAGGAGGAACTAGCAGGCAGCGGTGGCCTGTTGGGATGGGGGTGGTGATGAAGATTCTCTCAGACAGACAGACAGACAGACACAGCTTATGCTAATACTCTAAAGGGTCAAAGAACTTGGTTTATTTGAGAAACAGCAAATAGGACATTGAGTTTGAAATTCAGTGAGGGAGGCAAAGAAAGGTAGAAAATGTAGCTGAAGAGATCAGCAGGAACCAGATCATGCAAAAACTTGTAGGACTTAAAATTCTATCCAAAGAGCAATTGGAAGTAATTGAAAAATTTGAGCAGGGCAAAGATATCATCAGATTTTAATTTTTAAAAATCCTACTGTCTGCAGAATTGAGGAAGAAGGATTGGGGAGGAAGAAGAGGAAAGAGGAGGGACATGAATAGGTGGAGGAGGTCAGTTGGAGAACCATCCCAGTTAAAGACGAAAGCGATTTAGCCCTGGGCGCCTGGGTGGCTCAGTTGGTTGAGCAACTGCCTTCGGCTCAGGTCATGATCCTGGAGTCCCAGGATCGAGTCCCACATCGGGCTCCCCACTAAGCGGGGAGTCTGCTTCTCCCTCTGACTCTCTTCCCTCTTGTGCTCTCTATCTCTCATTCTCTCTCTCAAATAAATAAATAAAATCTTTAAAAAAAAAAAAAAGAAAGAAAGCAACTTAGCCCAAGGGAGGTAAATTCTCGGAGTTGGCTTTCGTGCACTTGGAATCATTGCTGGCTGTACTTACAGTTATTTGAGGAAATTTTGCATCCTTCTTGCATTCTCCTTGAGCAGGGATTTCTGCTTCCCATGGCAACCATGCTCTAGAAACTTCTCCAGTATTCTCATTAGAGTAAATGGAAACAAGTTAAATATATTAAAGAGTAAGATCTTTCTTATAAA